AGATTGCCCTCTGATTCCTTCCTGCTGCATCTAGGTTTTGTTGCTTTAGGACTTCCTGTTGTTTAATTAATTTTTCTGGGGTGTTGCTTGCTCTTAGAGTTCTACATCAGCCTGGCTCAAACTCGCTTTCCCATTCTCGTTCATCGTGTGATCCCTTCTATCATGGACCATGCTCAAGGCCGAGCATTTCACCATCACCTGGCTCGGGCCATCATGCATTTGAATTACCTAGCGGGACTCCTTCCCTTCTTTGAACCATCAATTGAATGGGAAGACCCACGCAATGAACATCAGCCCAGGTCTGGGCGCTCTAACCCTGCTTCACGAAATCTTCATACATTCGTCCCCTTGCCTGCCTCGTCGGCACCACCGACAATGGTATCTCATGGAAGCATTCCGACCCACATGGTCCTGAATCCCGAACCAAATCTTCGTCCTCTTACGATCGCAAATCACCCACGAGAAGACAAGGGATACCGCAATGTCGAAGCCACCGCTCGCAATCCTACTTCAATTCAATTGTGGGCCATCCCTCAACGCCGGTTCTGGAAACCCCCAAGTGGGGCAGGCCAGATCAGGCCAGTACCTGATTTCCCTCGTGCGACTACTCGAACCACAACACCTGTCCCGGTTCGGTCAAAACAAAGATCCAATCCGGTTGATGATCCACAACCGTAGAAAAAACAGCGATCGACCCTCTTGGCTCCCGACTCTACTTGGTTGATGACTCAGACGAAGATGCAGCCTCCAAAGCCCCCTCAGCCCCCTCAGCCCACGAAACTTCCGCAATGGAAACCGGTCCAGCTACGACCACGACCTTGCCAGCGAAGACTCATACCACACCACCTCCAGGCACTTCCACTCCTATCGAATCCCACCATTCGTATCCTCCAACCTGCAGACTCTGCACGTGGTCATGGTTCTGCACCCTTTCGTCCTTGGACGGACATAATTGATCATGGAAATCGATTGGTGCCAGGTTACGTCGTGATCCTCAGACGTGCAAAATGCGCTGGCCCATTCTCAAACAAATGTCCGACCAACACGGTCCGGAGCCGCCTCATCATGAACCTGAGGCAGTGGACTAAGAGCCTACGACAGAAAAAAGAGCGGCCGCCCCAACATTCACATTAACATGTCACCTCATCTCCATGTCTCCATTTCTTGTCCCCTTTTTTGGCGGTTTATTTGTTTCTCACTCCTGTCTAAAATTTCTCAGTCATTATGGCTCATTCATCAAATTATGTACGTGTGGCCCCAGATCGTTCCCGTTCTCGGGAGGATCCGCCCATGTGGAGCAACCCAACTCCTGCTCGACCACGTAATCCTCAGTATCGTGACTCATGGCATTACAATCCACCGCCCCGGCATACTCGCCGAGTGCTGGTCATCGTCAACTTAGAGCAGGTTCGACCTCTTATGAATGCACATCGTTGTGACGCCATGGAAGCAACCACCTGCCGTGAATTGCCTTCACTTGGCCGACTTGAAGAATACGCACTGTTCACCTACAGCTTCTTGGTCCACCCGGCCCAAACTCAGACTCTCACGGTGGACATTATGCTGTACTACATCAGTCAGCACATTACATATACCTGGGACTGCTACCTGGAACCTTCTTCCATGGATCTTCGTTGGCAAGATAGCACCGGAGACACCTTCGTTCTTCGCAATGGACAGATCCTGATTGACCTGCTACGTGAACACCGTCCTCATTGGACTGAAGGCCAAGACCAGGGCCTCCTTAATACAATTCGTAATTTTGACAATCCAAATCAACCGTACATTATGCGTTTGAGTTGCCATGAGGCACTCCCAAACCCGAACATGCTTCCGTGGCTCAGTTCAGATAAAATGACCGTCCTGCCGGATTCAATTTGTCCCCTCTGTGCATTCTCTCGTGTTTTCTCTGTTGTTCTGCTGCTTCCTCTTCTCATGTTTTCTGTGGTTCTTGGCTTAAGCCTTTACCATGACCAAATGGGATTCCGGCTGTGCCGGCATTGACTCCCCTCACGTCCCCACGAGCATGCAACATCGTCAATTTGCCATTCAATTCCAGTCCAGAAGCAGCGCTGCTTCCCCATGGATCCGACCCAAGTGGTACGACGTCAAGTGCTCATCATTTTGGATATACGTCAGAGATCCCTCCTGTCCATTTGCCACCTGGATCTCCATCATACCCCCAAAAGGGGAAGCGTATCCATTACAATCTGAAATCCAACAACAGCATCGAGTGCTTCACACTCACATTTTCAAGGGGGTCGTTGCGACTCCCCAGTCGGGTCGTCCAAACCGCCTTATGATGACTCAATGGAATTGTTGGTCATGTGAGATCGGACGATGGTGGTAACATCAATAGCTGGGATCAAGCCACCCGACTTGCCAATTACTGGCGTCGATTTTACAACATTCCTGAAGTACATGATGAAAACACTTCGTGGAACTCATCGTGGTACAACTACCAGCAACCGTCTGACAATGCTGACCGAACATCTGAAGTCCATGAAGTACCACCTGAATCTGAGATGGAAGACGAGGCATCTATCACTGCCAACCTTGGCACATTACCGATTCCAAGTCAGATCTACCAACTGGCAACCGTCCTCCACAACATTCTCATCAGCGACAGGGAATCCAATGCAGCGATCCTTGAGAAGCTTGAGAACCCCCAGGACGATTTAAATGCCAGTCCGATTCAGGCGGGAGATTTGGCCCACCTTGCCAGCCACTTGGCAGCCACTTGCAGACTCTTGCCCAACATGCTATAGAGATGGAAGACCTTTGGAGATCGACGACTAGTTCCCGCATGTGATGCAAGCCCCTTCGTGATGCCGGAGGCAACACCCCAGTCGCCAATGGTGACACCCTCTGAAAACAATCTGCCTATCTGACCCGTACTGAGCATTCCGGCCAATTCATTTGCATTTCTTTCCCTGCATTTTGATTTCATTGAAACATCCAGCCTCAGGGGCTCGACACTTCGTGATTCTGTTGCACAAAACGGCCTCGCGGCAGCGGGGCGCGTGTGTGAAACATCTGAAGAGATGTAAAACTTCTAACACTCGTGGTTTCTGGTTCCGCAGTTTCGTGAATTTCTCAGAGTCTCATTTTCAACACGAAACGCTCGTGGTTTTCTTGTTCCGCAGTTGTCAGTGTTTTCCCAGAGTATCAATTTCAGCAGGGGGGCACAGAAGGCCCATAGAGCTGTGCCCAACGAAGCTCTCTATGGTGTCCTTAGGATATCCAGGCTGATCACCTGGACGTACCTGCATCCATTTTTCAACAGCTTCGATGTCAATTTTCCGAAATGGCGACCGGCCAAGCCAAGAACCGGCATGTCGTTTTTCAAACAGTTTTCCAACCAAACTTTCAGTTTTCCATTTCACTGCCTGTACGGCTGTCGCAAGCTGTTTGAAGAGAACCATTTCGATTTTTCTCGCCCCTGGTCACCAAACATTTCCTGTCAGGTTTAACTGAAGTGTTTTTGCACGTACGATGCATTCCACATCAGAATTCGCAATGATGGTTCTGAGCAAGTGTGCAGAACACCTGAACAAATGTAAAACTTCTACCTCTTCGTGGTGTATTTTTCAGGTCCGAGCGAACTTCTGTTCAGCATGGGAGTGCGGCGTGATTGTGGGACCGCACTCAACGAAGCTACGCGTACCTGCTATTTTCACCTCAAGTCCTTGCAGATTTTATTTGTCGTACATGGCAACCGGCTAAGCCAAGAACCGGAACACACATATAATTTTGGCAACCAGTGCATGTGTATGGCGACCGGCTAAGCCAAGAACCGGACTGGAGAATTTTACGACTATTCTGCACGGTTTCCACAATCTGTTTACGGGGATATTTCTTCAAGATTCTGGTCGTGATCTTATTTTCCGATGATATTCTAGTTTGGGGTCTATTTGAACCAGTTTCTGATCGTGATTGACTTCATCGGAATTCCTTCATATTCATCGTATACCGCTTCGAGGAGATCTACCTTAGGTCCTTTTTTCTTGTGTGATTCCACGTTATGGGATTCCGTTCCCAACGGATCACTATAATGATCCAGTTCTTGCCTGCTGTGTAAAGGGTAGATACTTCTCGAAGCTTCTACTCTGCTAGACAAGGATAAATGCCTCTTTGAAGCTTGAGTCCGACGTCATGATGTTTTTTGATTTGCTCTCGCTACACCTGGGATCTTGAACCAAATGCAAATTCCAAGGTCGAAAGCTGCTTGAATGTGCGGAGACTGGTTAAGTTATGTCAGCCTCGCTTGAATCATCTAGGTTAAGTTATGCAGCTGTGAGTACTCATTTTCTCAGTCAGTTCAAATTTATCTTGATGCTTGTTGCAACAACACTTGCCACAGGGTCTCTGCATCATTGAAAATATTCAGTTTCACAATAGTCGCGCAGCTGCACAACCTTGACATGTTTGCGGACATTTGCCACATCGGACATTTGCTTAGGTTGTGCTTGGCTCTGTTGGCCACGCGAGTCGATGCAAATCCACCACGACATGCAGCAGTGACTGAGGGGCCCACGTGGGCCAACCCTCTAGTGAGTCTTAAGTCTCACAAGAGCAATTTCTGTCTTGGTTGGTGTTTCATAGAACGTTCGGCAGCAGCGGTGTTTTGCTACGTGTAAGCAACATTCACACCCTTGATCTTGATCACAGGCCCTCAGTGTGCTTCCAACTGCTGGCCTTCAGCATGGTCTTTTCAACCGCAAAGGATCTGTTAATTGCTGCACTTGGGCTTTGTGACCCAACCAGCAACCTCTGGTCATCCTGGATTAGAGACTTTAGAACCAGGCGTCACCGACAAATATTCCGCAACCTATATCAACATTTGAACATGTGAAGATTGTGTCAACTCCAGGACAACACCACCTTGATGCGTATCTATTCGGACTGCACATGCTTAGTCAGACTGTCTAATGTGGGGATACATGGCTACATAGGGATGGCCCAGAGAAACTATATGATTTTCTACATGCGGGGGGGTAGACATCCACAAATCATCTTTAAACCAAGTTACTAAACGTCGTGAATCATCGTCTTCACAGCGACTAATCTATATTTGAATTCGGCCTAGTAGCAAGGCTGATGCAGCCTAGTAGCGTGAGCTGAAGCGGAATGTCCGCCTCCTCAACCTAAAAATTCGCAATACAGCGATTCGGAGCCCAACGCTGGATACTGAGAATGCTGTAAATGTTAAAAAAGAACGAAGGTAGACCAGGAAATCCAGGAACCAAGGGCGATTTCAAGCCTGTGTGCTCCCAACTTCCAGCCTTCAGTGTGGTCTCTCGATCTAGCAATTCCAGCAATCTAGCCGCTATTGTCCGGTTGCCCTGCCGGAGGCGGGCCTATAACCGGCAAATAGCTACAAATCAAAATTTAAATTTGACCTAGCCTGAACCGAGGTGGAAGGTCTGTCCCTTCAACTAGTGCTTAGGTGGGCTTGGCTCTGTTGGCCACGCGAGTCGATGCAAATCCACCACGACATGCAGCAGTGACTGAGGGGCCCACTTGGGCTTACAAGGGCATGCAATTTGGGTATCAAACTTCTCAGCACCCTGCTGCTCTAGCATGTCAAGGCTTACAGCATGGGGCTTGGACAATTCTGAAACTACCACGACTAGCACAACATCTTTCAAAAGGCGCTGCAAGGCAGCTTTGAACGGAAATGAAACGGATTGTCCGCTACAGCTCGTCTTCACCTTCACCCTCTTGTTCTCTTGCAGCAAAGCCATCGCCATTTCCTTGCAAGAACATGATCTCCTGCGCAAAGCAATCTGGTACGTCAAGATCAATCGGGAAACAGTGATCAACCTACCAAATATGCAAACATGTCTCCCCTGGACGTTTGGCCAAAATGTTATGCTTTTGAATTGTATGGTGTGAATGACCATGCCGAACCCAACCTGATTATGAATGCAAAACTATGTCTGACCGTGTGCAACTGCCACACGGCTGCCACTAGAGGAAGACGCGTCATGGTTTGCGCGCAGGGCTCCAGGCAGTTGTTGGAAAGTCCTTGCTCCTTTGTCTCCAGGTTCGCACCCCTGCCGTGACGGACAAAATTACTATACGCAGGAGGTGTTTATCTTTAAGACCAGACGCGCCCCGCAATTCAGCTGAAGATGCTTTAAAAGCCATATCAGGCCGGCCGCATCTTATATGGGGGCCCAGGTCACCATCTCACCGCAAGTCGCCATTGAAATTCAGAAGAAACCAGGTCAAAACTATATAAGTATATAATACATACTCGACAAGACGAACGTTACGATCTCTTTTTCATTTCTCATCGTAGGGTCGGCTAAAGCCTCTCGGCTCTATCATGGTGACCCTTTGTCACCATATGTTTCGTGGCCCTTTGGGCCGCTATACATTATACGTCACGATAAGATAATAGCAACGCTTCGGGTCAATACTTTTTGGGTGCTTTGCTACCTCAGGCTGCGTGGATCCCACTTTTCCTGATCCCCTGCGTGCCCAGGATGGATTTCTTCTTCCACAAGCAGGCAAGGGTCGGGCTCCAAATATTTAATACTAATTGAATATTTTGGAAGTGTTTCGACTACGCTCTTGTCTCCAGTCTTGTGTTCCTCGATGCCCTTTTTGACTGGACTCTGGCGCCTTGAGGTGAACCTATTTGCGTTGACTCCCGATACTTCCCGGCACATGATGGCACACATTGTTGACATTTTATTATTTGCCTTCTTGCTTGCTTGTGATCTTTCCTTGTGCATTGTATGTCGATGTCTTCCACAGCCTTTAAACTTGGTGTCTCACTTGAGCTCACTTGTTTTTGTTGCATTGCTGGTGTGGGAGGCAACCCTTTGCAACTTTGCGTAGTTTCTGCAAGCTGAATCATGTTGCATGGTCTCTCGCTCTGCCTTGAGCATGCCTGGGACCTTTAGTTTTCTTTCCCTCCGAGTTGTCCCAACCGTTTGTGGTAACTTGATCTTGTTTGCATCTCTGTTGCCTTGGGCAGCATCGCTCGAACTTGTCTCCAACCGTCTTCTGCAGCTGTTTGATGCACCGCTTGCATCTGTCTCCAGTGTGTTTACGGAGGCCTCAAGCAGCACAAGGCGTAAAGCCCAATGAACTGTTGCCAGGGTTTGGGCAGCAAAATGCTTCGTTGTCGCACCTTTAAGGTAAAACTACGTTTGGACCGATTGTCAGTCTTGAAGGCTGATAGAAGCTCCACGACCATCTATATACCTGTTAAGGCTCTAGGCTGTTTTAGACTGCGCTTTGTCATGTCTAGTTCCTGGGCCGCATCCGCGCAGTTTGCATTTGTGTTACCCGATGTTCCGCAGGCATGTCAAAATGTATTTGATACATCTCTTTACCAATCCCAGAAAAAAACAAAATACACAAACACAAGACAAGCCAATGTGGAACCCGCCAAGCAGATGCAAACACTGCTGAATCCCACATGTACACCATTGCAAAATCTACAAACACCAAAAAAATCCCATCAAATTCGTTCAAATTCAAATTTCACAATGTCCATCCATGTCCTCTGTATTGATGAGATTGTCGGCAGGCGTTGCGTTTGGAGCCAGGCCAAACCTACGCCTCCTGCGCCTTTCCCGTCGACGCCTCCTGCGTTCGCGTCGTGTGACGCAGCAGGTCGCTTCATCACAGTTATCGGGCGTTGCACCGCAAACCTTCAGGCTGTGGCCGAGGCGCGTAAAACTAGTACCGAGGTAACAAAAAACTCTTGCCACAGCACAGCCCAGTAACATGGGTTACTATAACGAAAGGCTAGTGCAAGAAGAAGAGCCGAAACGAAAATGGGAAACCCATTGACGCGTGCAATTTGTGACGTGTTGGATTGCAGTGGCAAACCAAAAATCCAGATCATAAAATGTTGGGCTAATAATGCTCCTGGGCAAGGGCTCTAGGTGCTGAACTGTTTTGAAAGGCACCTATAGGTTTATTTATTGCGAATGAAAAGGATCACATCAAACTGTATAGATATGCAAAGTAATCGGTTTAAATGGACCGTGTGGAGCCGCGTGGAGGAATGTGGTAAGAAATTGCCCGCGCTTCTTTGCTCCAACAAATGCCCAACATCAAGGACGCAACTAGTGGTAGAAGAGCTGCTGTACCAAGTCACAGTTGCTTCCCTTTGCCCAAATCTACACACAAATCACAAAAAAACAATACATGTTAGCACAAGTGTGCTATATAATCGAAGGAAGTTTGGAAGTCAAACTTCTGACAATATGGAGAGATGAAAAAACAGTCAGCAGGGAGAAGAGTCAGAAGAGAAAAGATCAGAAGAAAGAAGATGCAGGTGCGCGAAAAGGTAGGAAAGTCGCGAAACACTGTGTTTTTTCGTGGTTTTGTGGCTCCGGAGGGTTGAAAAGTAGGCTCGCTAAAGCGGCGGGTGCGGAGACATATGGGGAGATGAGAGATGAAAAGTTGCACGCCGTTGTGGCGCGAAGCACATTTGGAAGTAAAATGTGTTAAAAACTGAGGGGTTCGGACCACTTTTGGAAGTTGAGATGTTGAAAAAGTGCACGCCGTTGTGGCGCGAAGCACATTTCCAAGTCAAAATGTACAAAACACAGCTTCGGACCACTTTTGGAAGTTGAGATGTCGAAAAAGTGCACGCCGTTGTGGCGCGAAGCACATTTCGAAGTCAAAATGTACAAAACACACCATTCGGACCACTTTTGGAAGGTTGAGATGTTGAAAAAGTGCACGCCGTTGTGGCGCGAAGCACATTTCCAAGTCAAAATTACAAACCACCAGCTTCGGACCACTTTTGGAAGTTGAGATGTCGAAAAAGTGCACGCCGTGTCGCGAAGCAATTTCGAGTCAAAATGTACAAAACACCACATGTTCGCGCCACTTTTGGAGGTTCAGATGTCGAAAAAGTGCACGCGTTGTGGCGCGAAGCACATTTCGAAGTCAACATGTACAAAACACTAGGGGTTCGGACCACTTTTGGAGGTTCAGATGTCGCTTCGCTTCGCTTCGGGTCATTACACTACACTATACAATCCACTACACTACAGTACATTACACTACACTACACTCCACAACACTACAAGTACAACTACAGAACTACACAACTACACGCCACTACACTTCACTACACTACCACTACACACTACAGTACATTACACTACACTACACTCCACAACACTACACAACTACAGAACTACACAACTACACACTACTACACTCCACTACACACCGCTACACTAAATTACACTACACTACATTACACTACACTAGAAAGATCGATAGATAGATAGATACATAGAAAATAGATAGGTAGGTAGGTAGATAGTCCGAGAAAGAGAGAGAAAGAGTGAGAGAGATCAAGCACCTTTCAGTCCATCAGTGGCTTCGCTCTGCCATCCCGGATTCACAACAGCCAAGCTTTCCTATAGGTTTCCTATTTTTGAAACTTCCGCCACCGCCTTGTGCGGTACTACTACTACTACTGGTATACCTGTACTGTGGTGCTTCTTCTTTGGCCATAGTCCTCGAAGCATCTTGAGCATTTGAATCTCTGGTGGCTTGTTGCACACCTTTTCTGAAAACCGAAAATGGCTTTAAGTCTGTCCCCAATTCTGCCTGATCAGCATCGCTCACCAACGGGCCAGAGCATACATACGTGGCGCAGGTTGCCAGGCAGCAGGCTCTACTGTCACCTTGGAGACGCCGCATGGAACTTCCATTCTGAATCAAATCATCAAATGAGGCCAAAGCTGGTTTAGGTGGGGGGAAGACCCTTGAGAGTTTCGGCCAGGAGCTTCAGCGAAAGCAGACACATTCTCTTCTTATCTCACGGGAGCCGTAAGACATTGACATTGACATTAACGCACCACACAAGTCCCTTCTACCACGTTTGTAAAAGATAAGAGAGAAAGTGGCGCGCGCAGTGGCACTTGAAGCGCTTGTCACGTCATGGTTCATTCCCATTCTTTCGAGCGCTGTGCTCCGGCAGAAGCACCAGCTGCAAAAATCCAATGGAGCCCGCGGGGCAGAAAAGGTCAAGCAACACGGATCATCAATACCAGAAGCGTATTGACTTGGCAGAACAAACAGCAACTCCAGTCCCCTTTCTGCAGCAAGCGCACCAAGGCCAAAGGGCTCGGACTGGCATTAGAGGCCGCCATTTCCCAAGCTCAAGACATTGAATTTGAACACACATGCTTTATGAAAGCGTGAATTTACTTTTCGACTCCCCTCACCCTCAAGATGTCACCCAAGACCTAAGCACTTCGAGATGGAAATTCAATGTGTGGAACCACACCCCCGACCCCAAAGCTTTCAGCCAATTCCCAGTTCCACTTGAAGTACTGCACACACATGCACACCAAATGAATCCAAACGACACAGAATAAAACAAAATATATAACTAAAATGACTATAGTGACCCATACTGATCCATACTGTACATTATTGCAGGAGGTTGTGTGACAGCTGTGTAAATACGCGGAGACTTCGGTGAGTTGAAAGCAAAGAAAAAGTAGACTATCAAGGGCCTAGCTTGGGACAAGTTCAGTGTCCCGAAACGGCGAACTCCAAGACATGTGAACCATTTGTGAATCCATAATGATTCAAACGGTTAAAAAGATACGGTCATGCTGACAGCTGTGTAAATACGCGGAGACTTCGGTGAGTTGAAAGCAAAGAAAAAGTAGACTATCAAGGGCCCACTAGCTTGGGACAAGTTCAGTGTCCCGAAACGGCGAACTCCAAGACATGTGATCCATTTGTGAATCCATAATGATTCAAACTGCTTGACGCCAACTTCAGCAGCTCAACAGCCCGCATGGCTGAGACAGCCAGCTGTGTGAGAACATGATCCCAACATGCTATTTTGGTGCAAGATTCGAGCACTGCTTAAGCTAAACATACGACATGGATAACAGGCTGAGGATCAGACATGGATTGCATATCTTGTCGCTCGACGACGTGTCTGGCACAAATCCATCCGGGCAGTTGTAGGTTGCACACGTGCCTGACAGTAGATTAGCGCCGTATAGCGCCATCTGGTTCTGGTCGAACGAATAAGCTGGATTATTTCAACATATTTCAACATTTCAACAAACTGACGACTTGCAAAGCTAATCGCAGGCCAAAGGTGCGACGCTTCAGTTCGAAAGATGGAATGCTCAATTTCCTTTAAAAACAAATGCGTGCAACAAAGTTCTGAAAGACAAGTCCTATAGTACCGCCTTCAAAATCTATTAAGATACAAAAAACAATGGTTTGAACCACCATCGTATCTTTCACGTTTTCTGTCAAATTTAGGGTGGGTGCGTTCTTCCCAATCCGAGGCCTTGCCTGAGATCCCAGATGTGGTTGTGGCGGTGGTGGCGATCGAGCGCAATGATGATCTGCTGGAGATGCTTTGGGTTGTACTTGTTGTACTGGTGCCAGCACTTGTGGTTGCACCAGTCGTCACACCTGACTTCGATGCCGTTGTTGTCTCAGTTGAAACCGGTGCGGCAGTGGTGCTAATTGTGGTGCTCCTTGTGGTGCTAACTGTGGTTGTGGCAGCGCTTGTGGTTTCACGGGCTGTTGAAACCGTAGTGGTTTCTGACTTCGTAGCCATTGTGGTTTCTGTTGAGACCGTTTCAGCGCTTGTGCTGGTGGTGGTTGAGGCTGTCATTGTGCCGGTGTCATCCGTTGTCGACGGTTCTGAGTCCGTTGTAGTAGTTGTAGTTTCGGATGTGGTTGTGACCTGAGCCAATAACCGGACTGAAGCTGGACTAATTTACGACATCAAACTCAAAACCAGCAATGCATCTTACCTAGCATTTAGATGTCTCTTTGACTCTATTGTCATTATTGGCCTTGTGCAACTATTCTTGTGCTTTAAGTAGCAGTGTGTGCTTTTTAATTGAACACTTGACCGTGTTGCTGGTGTCTGAAAAGCTTCTCTGAGACTGCTTCTGTCTATAAATATGTTTGCATGCAGAGATGTGATGCAAGTTCGTAGCAGTTGATATGTCTAAGCTGTGGAGTTGCGCATGTGAAAACACGTGAAAGCATGTGACAACATAGACCGTAGACCTGTCCAAGCTCCGGGCCAAGATCACGATGTCAGCGACTGGGCAGAAGGTGTCAAGGTGTCAACACGGATCGACAAATAAACACACACACACACACGCAATGACTGCATTCAGCTGTTCTAGGACTAATGTGACTAGTGTAAACACCTGTTGATAAATCCAAGCAGGTTGAAAGTGACGGCTGCCCAAGAGCAAAGACTATCCTTAGATTTTTTTTTGCAAAAAGGCTAAAGCGGGCAGGATTCCAGAACTTGGCTCAAAAAAGTGGGGAAATCATGAAAAGCACCTTAGCACTACGCGCTTTGTGCAAATTCAAAAAAATACCAACACTTACGCACCAGCTTACTCGCTTGCCCCAACCGAGCCACAATGACCAAAACGTGGTTTTGCAATGTTTTCATTTCTTTGGTCTGATTTCTGCTTGTACTCGCTGTTATATCTATATAAATCTTGCTACGTTCAAGCTACTTACTGTCCCAGGTTTTCGATTGAAAACATATTTTCCACCTTATCCTGTTCGGAAGAGGCCTTCCAGCACCTTAGGAGTGAGAAATTTCATGACCCATGACTCATGACAATTCCATCCCCAACTCGCTGTAGGACGGAACCTCCGGGACCAGGTCAGCAATGCACACTTCAACCCCTTCAGCAATATGATCTCCAGCGCCAGCATGTTGCAAACTGTTTTCCAATTCAGACCGCCTGGCAATTACCATTTTGGACGTACGCATTTTCAGCCCTTTAGCAACATGTCTTCCGAAACCTGTGGAAATAATATGATGACGTGAAACCCATGTCAACTCTTGCGTTGGCAGTGTCCTGGCGCACCAAACATGGGACTGACCCGCTTCCGCCAAGGGCAAGTGCGTCAGGGCCAACGTGGGGAACGCGCTTGGGACCCTCGAATAGCTTTTTTCTCACAACTTTACATGAAAGCTTGGGCACAAACCCGCACCAAAAAACATCATAGGTGAGGTGAGAGAAAGAGAGAGAGAGAGAGAGACGGACGGACGGACGGACGGACAGACGGAGAAACAGTGCAGCACTGGAAAGGCTTGTTCCGTGGATTTCGGCCCTGCTGAATGGACTGGATTACATAGACAGGTTGATTCCTGGGAAGTGATTGGTCCATTGCTCGCGCAAGTCCATCTTCCTGCGCTTACAATGTTTTTACAACCATCCCAGTTCCGTCCTCTGAGTTTGAAACACTATTCTCTCTCTTCTCTTCCTTTACGAACTCCAAACCTCCCCAACCAAGGACAAGAACTGGAAGAACTGCGGGCTGTACTCTGCCCGGAGAGATGGACAAGTGTCAGAAATCTCAACAGGTCACAAAGCGAAGAGAAAGGCACACCTGAAATCTCAGGAATGCTCGCAAGATTGGCTTGATTGACAGTTCTGAAACATGCTGCATATCTGGGAATGATTGCCGAATGTTCTATGAAGCACGGCGCTGCGGGATTGCTTCCCAACGCAATGCGTCATTTTTTTTGGTGCTTGCTAACGTTCCGGATTGTTCCAGCTGCTTCCATCAAATATGACCTGATGATGCCATACTTTTCCACACTTCCAACGCTCTTTTAGATAGTGCAATAGCATGCAATTGCTGTGCTTAAGACTTTAAGAAGCGTGTCAAGAAGTGAGGCGCTTTGTAAAGTAAATTTGGCCCCTAGGAGCACAAAGCGCGAAACTGGTACAAGTGTGGAAGAATGATGAAGAATGTGTGAAACAAGTGCAGGGTCAGCGCTACTAGTAGTTTCTTTGTGCGGAGCTTTCTATTCCGAGCCTCCAGACGTCGTCACATTGTCGGCTTTGGCAACACAAGTCATTGTTCCCATCGGGATGGAGCCGCTGACCCTGAGCGAGGCATTGCTACCTATGATGGTCAAACTGCAGAGAACTTCTGCGTCGGAACAAATCGAACAATTCAAGTCTTCCATGTTGGAACCTTCTGCAAATACGGTGAGTTGAAGAGAATCTGGTGAGAGATAGATTCTTGTCGGCAACGACAATGAGGGAGGAAGTGGTTGTAGAAAAGACTGCGCCAAGCCCTGAGCTTGCACGGCAGCTTCAATCTCTGCCAATGATGATACGGCAAGCTCCTCTCCACCTTCACTGTAGTCGAGACAGCAGAATGCATCACCATGGCAAACAGCTGGACAAGCATCAATATCCAAATCTGAAACGAAGAGGGGGATGAAAGTGCGGTCACAAGGCTGGAAGAGATCGGGAGGAAACAACGAATCCGCGACATTGTCTCTGCACCATGAAAGCACAAATTGTTCATAGATCGTTTCTGCTGTTGAGGTAGTTGGGACACCCTGACTTTTGTTGAAAGGTTGCAAATCATCTGCAGGATCGCCGTTGTTGTTTCCTAAAAGACCTTCTGCTCGGTTGAAGCAGCGCTCATCAAGCTTGATTTCCAGGTAGACATGTGTGGGGTGGAAGACAGCTTTGATTTCATGTCCGGAATCCGTCGCTATGAAGAGAGTGTCAGTGCCGTCTATGGCCAAGGTCAGGAAGCTACCGGCCAGCCTCTCACCATCTCCATCCAAAGCAAAGTCAAACAGAGAACCAGAACCATCTCCAGCTCCAGGGTCACGAGAAACGGCATAAGCAATTTCACCCTGCTCCTTGACGGCAAAACCCTTGATGACTGTAGCTCTGCTGTCGCTCCCAGCTGGACCCGCGGTCTGTGTGAGGACATGCAGCGCAAAATCGTCGCACCTGTTTGCCATTGCGCACGCAAGAGACTAAGTCAAAGATGGTCAAAGATGACCAAGAATGGTCAAAGTGTAAAGCTGTTTTCAAATGTTCGTTCTATAGACTGACCTGTTTACTTTGCGTCGTTGATTTTGCAGCCTATGCAACTTATGCAAACATTTTTTGTGTGATTGTCCAAACATTTTGGAACTGGCACCTGGTCCAAACAGCCTCTCCCAAGAAGTTGCACTCAAAGCGGAATCCATCATAGCTCAAACATTGCGGGTCTCCGCCTCCAGTACCGGGAGCCCTGTCCCGATCCCAGTCTGTGTCATCGAAGGGGTTGTTGTCGTCAGGTGGCTCGTCCTCCTCCTCACACTCGAGTTGTGATTTGAAGAATGTCTTGGTTGCCAAGAGGCGAAGTCTTGGTTTGTTTGCTGGGCGCACGAAGAGGTAAAGAATTCCAGCAGATCCTGTTGGCCGCGGAGATTCGCTTAGCTGCAGCCGGCTTCCGCTGCTAGAGCCAGCAATGGATGCAAAGCCTGAATTCTCGTACCATGTATAACGCCTATTTGTGAACACCGAACCCAAAGCTCTGTCTCCCTGTGCATACCATGAGCAGGTGCTTGGATTGTATCCAATCTGCAAATTTCCTGTCAAGCTCCAAAGGGGAATGGCAAAGCTGGACGAGAGCAGCACGCCAGGACAGGTTTCCCACTCAAAAAAGCCACAGGCGATTCCGGCCTCGTATGACATCCCCAGAAACAAGCCAAACTTGGAAATGTGAAGGCCTCCCAGAGGATCTCTTTGTCTTAGAAACGGGTCGAAAGCTGTTATGGCTGCCTCAAACTCCAAGCCTTAGCTCAAAATGACTTCGGCATGGAAATGGGTGTGAACATGGCACGAACCATCAAAAACCATCATAAACCAATGTCACTGTCCAATTCATTCTAATTCTCTGCGTTCACACAATATCACACGCGTCTTTGCAATTCGCGCACTCATTTTCGCTAGGCAGCTTGGCCCGAGTCCAAAGCGGACACCGATCACACCAGCGGCAAGGACATCCAAGATCACCTTCACTCCAACTGAAGCTTTCCAGGTGCCTTCCAGAGAGTTAGACCTCGAGTTTTGAGTTCGAATGAGTTCGATGTTCAGGGCAAGTCAGTGACTCAGTCAGTGTTCCGATGCTGGAAACTGAATGCAAGATCGCAGCACGACGCACGACACTGTGCCAACACTTCGACCGGGTTCCGCGACTTTTTGAAAGGTTCGGAGGGCTTCTCAGTCCATGTGCTCGAAGAATCCCAGATCCCATTCTCCCGCTTCACCTGCCAGGGCCATGTGGCAGGCCTCATCGAAATGCTCTCCTAAACCGTTCGATTGTGATTTCCAACGCTCATTTTCCTTTATGTCCCAATAAATTTTCGATCAAATGTGCTTGCGTGTCAGCCGCAGCTTGGGGAGCATTCTCGCCCTTTGCGGCCGCATGAGTATAGACCCCTTGAATCAGCCCCTGCAAGCATGCAAAACGGATGAAAAAGGATGCTTTGAAACATTCTAAAGCATTCTAAAACTATCCTCCGGAAAATTTGGTGCTGCTGCTGGGTAAAACTGTTGTGTCCTGTTCAACATTGAACTAGCCGGCAAGTTCATTCCATCTGCCCAAACATGGCCCTTCGCTTTTCTAATGTCCCCGCCCTACATTCATTTTGACACTGGCGGACCAAAACCTGAACAGTCCACACTGCGCCATAGTCGAGGCTGTATCCGACATTTAGCTTGCCAGATGCAGCCAAAGATCCTACGAGCACGACTTGCGGCTTGAGGACGAAAGGAATAGGAACACCTGGAATCCTCAGCGGTCCGAAATCATGCGAAAGTTGACTACTTCATACTATTTCTGAGTACTATATGTGTTTTGGGCATTACGATATCAGTGGAGGAAACTCCGGTAAAAATGAAACCGGACGTTCCGAGGCAGATTGCTGTCAAGAAACGCGACGGTAACAGGTGGAAATTTGGCTAAGGGTATTTCTTTGTCGACGACCAGACTGCCTTGGGAAAACATGGAGAATGTCAATGTGCCCGAGATGTCCAAACTGAACGTGCAATCCACTGAGTATGATAGAAACCCAATGTCCACACTGACGTGAATCGTTGGCTTGAGGGTGATCGTTTCCTGCACGCTAACACCACCTGTAAACTCCACCTTTGCCCCGTCTGCGAGCTTTAAAGTTGTTGGACTTGACGTAGCTGCGTTTTCGAGCAGGCTGACCCCAGACCCGCTTGTATCTGCATCTAATGTCAAGGTCCCATCAAGTTGGAAGCTTTGGTAGATGTCCTCCAATTGAGATGGACGCACTGTGGCCTTCAGCATGGTCGGACCGGCCTCCAAGACTTCTATTAGCTGCACGAAGAAGGGATCATCTTGGCTACTTGAGCCGCTCAAATACATTCCAGCTGTCAAACTAGGCAAGTCTTGAGGTAGAACTGCTGACAAAGAAATCGAAGTGTTTGTCACGTTGATCTCCTGACCCACAGGAACCCAAGAATATCCCAAAACCACAAAGCATCCCAGTAATATTTAATTATGGCACTAATGGGATGGGACAAGTTTCGGGGGTTTGCAAGCCAGCCCCACGAGTCACAAGAAAGCAGAGTAAAGCAAAGTAGAGTATTGCGGCCATGTCTTCCTATAACCTTTGAAAATGAATGCAAAATAACCTCAACAACGTTTTAAGCTGCAGAGTTTCCAGCACATCCGGAGCTGCTGTGACTTGCACCCAATTGACGCCGGCTTTGAGAACTGGATCGCGCTCTGAGATTTTGATTTTGGTTGCTTGGCGGTTGCTGGAAATGAATGAAATGTTCGAAAAAATCCACTCTGGGTCAACAGATTCCTCCACAGCATCGTGCAAGACTGCCAGGACAATCAAGAACTGTGTGGAACCGGGCGCAAAGCGAATCTGAGCACTTCGACTAGATTGATTAGCACCCTCAAGAAGTTGAACAAGAACCCCAGTGCGATTTCGCAGCAGCTCTCCACCCTCTCCATCATCAAGTTTCTCTTTCTCCTCTGAAGAAAGCAACAGATACTTCACATCACTAGAGTTGCTGACATTTGCAAGGGCAAAGTCAGTAAATATCTCCCAAGTGATATCCAGTTTTCCAGCAAACACAGACACTGCAGATGCGATGCCATTGAAGGAGATTGCGGTGGTGGTAGTGGTAGTGGTTGTGGTGGTGTCTGTGATACTTTCTATGAGATCAGCTTTATAGAGAAGCTCTTCCAAATCGCTTTGTTCCACTGATGTCCAAGGAAAATGCACATCAGAAAACAGAACTCTGGACGGCCAAGCACGGATGAATTTATAGGACGAATCGTAGCAGCACCGCATGATGGCAGTGAGTTCAAATTCCCAAGATGCGTCTTCCTGAAAGCAAAGAATTCCCTCTGGGGGATCCAACACATCAAAACCTCCGAGCGGTCTCAATTGCCTCGGCATATTCCCAGCAGTTACTTGGAAAATGGGAGGCACCCATAAACTTGGACATGGTTTCCTGGAAACATCCGGTGAAGCCCTGTTAATGAACCACGAATATGCCACAAGCACATCATCCCGAGCTTTGAATGTGCGGAGAATGTCATACTTGACCGCCACGGGTTGCAAAACTTCGCTATGCTCTGGCAACAATCCAGCACTTTTCGCGAAGCCTGCGCAGGGCCACAGATCCGACATTTGCATTGACTGGGTACCCATCAGTCACAGTTGGAACAGCTCACTCTTCGCTGCAAGCCAGTAGTTCTTTGTTCCCCACATCTTTGTGTAGGGTTCTTGTTTTTGATTCTGTAACCCGCCCGGCCTCCGCCTCCTCTTCCCGCGCCGCCGCCTCACACCATCTTTTATACACAACTTGGTCCCACACCATCTTTCGCACACAACTTTGTCACACACCACTTTGTCACACACCACTTTGTCACACACCATCTTTCACACACACACAAGCTGTTCAGTCACACACGCAGCATCTTTCACACACTTGGATACACCCCGAAGGGAGAGGGTGAAATGAGATGATATGAAATCAGGTAATGTCATGTTATCATGTTAGCATGTCATGTCGGCATGGGTGGTTTATGGCTTTGCCACCTGGCCATGTCCGAAGGTGGAAGGTTGCAGGTACTTTTGCAGCTCTCATCATTGGCCTCTTCGTTGGCCATCCACCAATGATGAGAGGGATGGCCCCTTGCTGATACCCTATGATTCAGGGCTTTCCTCACACAGTAAGCCGCGGGGCACGATTTTGCGAACCGGAAAATGGTCCTTAATCTAGTGCGCTGTTTTCCACGGTGTTGTGTTGTGACATGGAACATGGTGCTCAAATATCTGTGACCATGTGTTGCTTGCTCCAACCGAAAACTAAGGGAAGTTTCACGGCGCTCAGCGCAAGTTCCACGGAAAAGGCCGATAACATCAAACCACTGCATCAGAATATCCGGCTGTTCAGCAAGCAACCAACGACCGACAAAAAAGGCTGGTAACGGCATGGTGCTGTTCCCCTAGTTGCTGAGTTGTGACATGGAAGGTGGTGCTCAAATCGCTGCGTACATGGGTCGTGGGTGTCACTGTGTCACCTTTCACGTGTGGTTTTTTTAACCTTGCTCCAACAAAAACCAAAGGAAGTTTCATGGCGTTCAGTGCAATCTCTACTGAAGAAGGCTGACAAAAGCAAACCACTGCATAAGAATTTCCGGCTGTTCAGCAAGCAACCGACGACCGACAAAAAAGGCTGGTAATGGCATAGTGCTGTTTCTCTCAGTGCTTGGTTTTGACATGATTGCTAGGTGAGCATGAACCATGGGATGACACGGGGAATTCTGAGGGATGAAAAATCTGTAATTCTGGCGAATCGTGAACATGCAATCTGGCGAATTCTGAGGGATTGTAGGGGTTTATCCAAGAGATATTTCTTTCAAAACTGGAATGGTAAAACTCTAAATGTCTCAAAAGGTCTCCAAGAGACAAAAAGAGAAAGTCCAAGAAAGAAACTTAGCATTTTCAAATCAACTTCTGGCCCATTGGGCATGAAGCAGATCACATACAGCTTGTCCCTACAAGACTTTTTGAAGCATTTTGAGTTGCCAACAACCTTTCTATAATTCAATTACCGAAAAAAAGCTTCAAAAATGTAAATCTATCATTAGTAAGCCCCTCGGATCTAAGCCCCTCTTCGGTTTTGCCGATATAAAGGGTCTCTCGCTGATCTAAAATGGCATGCCCCAAAATAATGATATAAAGAGACCCTGGAAAAGCACGGGTTCCATTCTGCAATAAAAAGCTCCAAACGCTCAATTTTTTTGCAATAAAATCAGAATGGAATTTTAACATGTTAAAAATCATTTCCCTGGCCAATAAAATGCTCAGACCAACCCCTTAACAATAAAATGACTAACCTGACTACAATATTGAAATTCCAATACATTACGGATCTCGCTTAGACCATGCACAAGTCATCCATTTCTAGTGTGGAAATTGCCGCGGGGATCTTTATTTGCTTTTTTGTCTGTGTCTATTCCTCAACTTGACCTTGCATCGTTTAGTTTTATGTCAATGGGCATGTGTTCCTGTACCAAGCAGACCGACGTATTGTCGGCTGTCACCTCGTTGGCCGGGGTGCGGGACGACGCGGTCTTGTGTGCTTGGGGCCAACGCTCGGTTTCCAACCGAGTATGACAGCAAGGGCTATGGGCTAATGAGCCTTGCTGGGCACACACCGAAGCGCTGGCCGGTCAGTTCGCGTCTTTGCGACTGTCGAACGTCCCGCCCTGCTCTCCACGGCGCTTGGGCGGCCAGCTTTCTCACACACACAACTGTGGCACACGCAACTCTTGCATACACAACTCTTTTACACACAACTTTCTTACACACAACTTGTTCACACGCATACACAACTATTTCAACACATCCTCACACACAACTTTTGCACACACAACTGCTTCACACTCATACATCACACCTTTCTAACACGCACGCACACACACACACAACTCTTCCACGTACAACTTTTTAAAACTTATTGATCCTCCACCACCTCCTTTGCCTTTCCTTCCTTCCCCGTCCCGCTTCAACTTTAGTTTCTCAGTATTGGAAGAAGTTGAATTGTGGGGTAATCCGGTCCTTTAATTTTGGCTCTTGGCTCGTCTCCCGCTTCTATGCTTTAGGCTAGTCCTGCATACAATATCCAATGCACGCACACGTTTATGAACATTTATGTTCATTTACGAACAATTCAATTACGCACCTGTAGACCCCAAACAGTTATTCCATATCTATTGCAGCGTCTGCGCATGATTTTGGTTGTGCTAGCTCCTGATGCTGGCGGTTTTTGATCCATGTCAATTCAGAGCTCAATGAGTCACACGCAGTTTTTTCATGCCACACGGTTTCGTTTCTTTTTGCCACGGCCTTTGTATATGAAACAACAGGAGGGAGACAAGGTAGGAGACAAGCGGGAGCCAAGTGGTAAAACGCAGAAAACCATGGTGGAACATGAATTATCTTGGGAAAGTGAGTAAAGAAAAGAGAAGCACGACACACAAATAAAATCACGATGAAACTAGAACAGGACACCACCACTAAGGCAGACATAGGATTGGAGACAAATGACTTCGGAGACAGATGAAGTACAGGACAGAAGGTGAGAGACAAAAGATGGAAGACACACAAAGGCGAACAGGCGAAAGAGCCGGACATCACCACACAGGCAGGCTGCTGATTTGGCGACAAATTAATTGGGAGATGGATAGATTGGGAGACACGTGGCCAGATACACATGATGAGAGACAAGAGAAAGCACGCAAAAGACATCCGGAGAGCCAGATACCAATAGACAGCGCGGGAGACAAATGAAGGGAGACAATGAAGGGAGACAAGTGACGAGACACATCCAAAGAGCTGGGCGCCACCAACCAGAAAGGGGGCCAGATGAAGGGAAACAAGTAAAGAGAGGCATCCAAAGAGCGGGACACCACCAGCCAGACGGGGAGACAAAAAAAAAGAGACAAGTGAAGACAAACATCCGGAGAGCCGGACACTACAAGCACACAGGGAGAAAAATGAAGGGAGACCAGAAAAGAGAGACGCCAGGAGAGCCGGGCACTACTGGGCGCACAATGTAGAATTATGAGTTCCCCAAGAAGCCTGTTGCGGAACCTGTCCCGCAATTATATATTCTGTGCCCGGGTCAGAAAAATAAAAGCAAGACATGAAGATCAGAGATCCCACAGGCACGTACAAACGTAAACCCGACGTAGGCCCAACATGGCCCCGACACGACCCAAAAGCAACGTGGCCCCCAACATGGCCCGGCTCATTTTTGTCATTGACGCTCCCAAATCAAAGCTTAAATGATCCCGCGCCTCCAAAAGAGCCGGACACCACCAGCCAGACTGGGAGATACATGAATTGGGCAGACAAGTGAAGACAGACGTCCAAAGAGGCGGGCACCACCAGCCAGACTGGGAGACAAATGAAGGAACTCAAGTGAAGACAGACACCCAAAGAGCCAGACTGGGAGACATATGAAGGAACTCAAGGGAAGACAGACACCCAAAGAGCCGGGCACCACCAGTCAAACTTTGAGACAAATGAGTTGGAGACAAGTGAAGACAGACATCCTAAGAGCCGGGCCCCAGCAGCCAGACTGGGGAACAACTATGCATTGGGAGACAGGTGAAGACAGACATCCAAAGAGACGGACGCCACCAGCGAGACTGGGAGACAACTTTTTTTTATCGAATGAAGTTTAGAAGTCAAACTTCCGACAAAATGGACAGATGAAAAGCAGAGATGGGAAGAGTCAGAGAAGAAGAACATGAACAGAGTTGGGTGAGTACACACTACATATGGGGGGAAGGTCATGTAGGCAGGAAGGGATTACGCAAACTAACCATAGAGGGAAAGATTACTGGCGGACTAGATAAAAAAGCACAAGGGGTAAGAGATTATAGAAACAGAGGAAGGTTTAGGTTCTGGGAGAACGGGTTTGAGGGACAAGGTGAGTAAGGAATGGTGGGATGGAGTAAAAAAAGGCAAAGAGTCGAGAAAGGCAGATGAAAGGACAAAAAGGGATAATAGTAGGCAGGACTGTTGGAGTAAAGATAGGGTGGGGGGGGGGTGATGTCCTACAATCTCCCCCCCCCTTCCAAGTCTCAGAAGCAAGAAGATCCCGGTGCATCCAGGTGTGCGAAAAGGTAGGAAAGTCGCGAAGCATTGTGTTTTTCCAATGATTTGTGGCTCCGGCGGGTGCGGAGCCAGCTGGCCAGATGAGAGATGAAAATTTGCACGCCGTTGTGGCGCGAAGCACATTTCCAAGCCAAAATGTACAAAGCACACCAGGTTCGGAGCACTTTTTGACGTTGAGATGTCGAAAAAGTGCACGCCGTTGTGGCGCGAAGCGCATTTGCAAGTGAAAAAGCTAAAAACACCACCTCGCGTTCGGAGCACTTTTGGAAGTTGAGATGTCGAAAAAGTGCACCCCGTTGTGGCGCGAAGCACATTTCGAAGTCAAAATGTACAAAGCACACCGGGCTCGGACCACTTTTGGAAGTTGAGATGTCGAAAGTGCAAAAAACTGGGGGGACGGAGCACTTTTGGACGTTCAGATGTCGTTTCGCGCGGCAGGCACAAGGGATTGTGCACCTTGCCAAAAGTGAGCAAAACGTGAGGGTTTTGTAGCA